TGGATGTGCAGTGTTTGAGGGAGTGAGGAGGCTCTGGAGAGTGTGATTGTGGGAACTAGCTGATGGCCGTAGCCCAAAACAGCATTCCTTGGACAACATCTCGTGCAGCAGCCTGGGGTTTGAGATGTGCTGCATCAGTACTGCCATTCTGCAGGGCCCTGATGCTGCAGATACACTGCACACCTGGACATGAGAGAAGAAAACCCAAACCATGTTTTGTTTTATGCCCAGGGCATGTATCTTCAGTTTGGACTGTGGGCAGGTCAGTATAGGTCAGTCATCACTGTGCCCCAGAGTACCTTTTTTTCTCTCAGCTCTCCAGGAGTTGAATTTACTCTCTTATGTGAGATTCTACGTTGCAGATGTATTCTCTTACTGTAAGGAGATGCATCTGTCCTCAGTGCTGACATTTCAGTAAGAGATGGGGGAATACATATCCTGTTGCCACAGTCACTTCCTCAGCTGAGTGGCTGTGGGGCTGCAGATTAGGAGACACACAGGGCTGGCAGAATAAGAATCCCGAGCACTGTCCAGGAGATCCTGGGACAGGAGTGTGTCAGCTGCTGTGGGCGGTGGGGCTGAGGGCAGGCAGGGCTGTGCAGGAGGAGGCCCAGGTTGCCCAGTGAACAAGTGTGGTGGTTTTCGGGCTCCACTAGTGCAGCACTTGCTCACAGGAGCTGCTACAGGGTAATATCAGAAGGGAGTCCAGAGACTCACTGGGCCCCTTTTCCTGCAGTACAAGTACAAGGAGGGGTATCGGAAGCAGCTGGGCCACCACATCGGGGCCCGCAACATCGAGGACGACCCCAAGATGATGTGGTCGATGCACGTGGCCAAGATCCAGAGTGACAGGGAGTACAAGAAAGCCTTTGAGAAGTCCAAGACACACTTCAGCAGCCCCGTGGACATGCTGGGGGTGGTGCTGGCCAAGAAGTGCCAGGAGCTGGTGAGCGACGCCGATTACCGGCACCCCCTGCACCGCTGGACCTGCCTGCCTGACCAGAACGACGTCGTCCATGCCAGGACTGTGTACGACCTGCAGAGTGATGTGAGTGCTGCTTTGGTGCCTGAGGGACAGCAGAAGTGTCTCCTGTGTTCTATTCCATTGTTGGGGAGAGGTCCAGGTTGGAGCATAACTCTAGGCCTATTCTGAGGGACTGAGATTGTGTTGTGACAGTTCTACTGTGACGAGTTCTTTTCATGAACTATCAGGGATGAAATTTTGGTAGCATCGTATTTTATGCTCACAGGAGAGTCATGTCTTGCCTTGAACATTTTGGGGACAGAGTTGCAGCCACAGGCTAGAATTCAGTATGGCAGGGAATGGGCAACAGAGTCAAATATTTGCTTTGGGTGGACTAACGGGGAAAAAGTAGACAATGTGTGCAGTGGTGAATTGTATGAAGGGACTTAGGAGGGGAGGAATGAAACTCCTCCCATGCCTCTGCCAGCTGCAGATTGCCAAATGGCACAGGTTTTTGTCAGGGATACTAAGAAGGTGGAGAGGAAGAGCTTGTGGATCGTTTGACAGCTGCTTAAGTTGTTGAAAGAGTGGGGAGCCAAGTAGTGAGGAACTGAGCTTAAAGGAGTCCCTTTGCTGCTGACTGGTTGCTGGGCTGGCCCAGGGAATGTGTTCTGTTCAGCAGAGCTTCCCTTGGGAGCAGGAGTGTCTGGATGGAGTGAGGAGGGTGCTGAGCTGCTTTGTGTCCTTGCCTGTCCTTGCAGAACGTGTACAAGTCGGACCTGCAGTGGCTGAAGGGCATTGGCTGGTCCCCAATCGGGTCTCTGGACGCCGAGAAGAACAAGAGGGCGAGCGAGATCCTGAGTGACAAGAAGTATCGGCAGCACCCGGACACCATCAAATTCACGAGCCTTCCTGACTCCATGCCCATGGTTCTGGCCAAGCACAACTCTCAGATCATGGACCATGTGAGATTCCTTGTGTTTGCCTCCTCAAGTAAATGGGCATCTTCCTTTCCCAGGACACTGGGGTCTGTCCTTCCAAGGTTGAGGATCTGCAAGGGGGATGTTGCATCCTCTTGCCTGAGGGGTTTGAGTTCCCTGTTTGAGATCAGCTTCTGTTTTGTGTGTTTGGAGCAGGAATGGGGTGCAGTGTGGAAGAGAAAAGGGTGAAGGCCTAGGAAGGTTTGGGTGAAGGGAAGGTGTTGCTGAGTGAGGGCAGA